CTGTTCGGTTGCCATGACACAAGGATTTTGTCATTTTTCATCTCCTGCTGCGGTAATAATCCTCTAGGTTTTCTCTCTCTTTACCCCAGTAGTGTTATTGCAAAAACGAGGTGATGAAATCGGGAGAGAAACCAGGGGAGCAGCAGAACGTGGAGGCATGAAGGAGGCCAGCAAAGCTTCTGAGAGAAGAGCAGCTTCACAGTGCCGTGCCCTGTGGGACTGCCCCTGCACTTTGTGTCCCCGAGGTTTAAGCAATCCCACGTACGTCACTGATGTTCCCACTGACATCTTGCAGGACTGTTTTTACTGTGACCTGAGGGATGTCCAGTTTCCTGTGATTGCAGACAGTTACAGCTTGGTCATTGGCATAACTAGCATCAGCTTGATTGGTTTGATTTGCAAATGTGGACTGAAAATCTGCAATATTGTTCACCCTGGTGAAGTGAAAAATACTTAGATTATTTTTTTTTTTAGATTAAGAAATATGCTGACCATTTCATCCATCTGCTTCTGCTGCAGTGAAATGTGACATATTTCTCTGGGACTGGCCTTTGGCGTATTGTAGAGGAGGCAGTTGATGGATTTCTGAGGGCTTTGAAAGCAAGGGTATTCCAGCTTCCTACCAGAGAAAATAAATAGCTGCAGGTAACTTGGGAGCAGGATTTGCTCTCAGAAATAGCACTGCTTTAAAGCAAAAATCGTAATGGAAAGTTTTTGGCACTGTGGTACAGATGAGTTACTGTAGCATGTGTGCACCGCTGCGAAGACGAGGTAGCAGAGTGGTGTTTGTGGGAACTGAGTATGTCTGTGTGTGCTTGCAGAATAAGGTTTGTGGTTTTTTCTGGTGGGTTTTTTTTTTTTTTCTTACAGCTCTGCCTCCCACTAGCCCAACATACAGCCACTCCTGTCGCTTTGGAAAGTCTTCCTCTGTAGCTAGCCTGGGGCTGACTGCCCATATAGTAAAGCTGTAAGCTTTTGGTCAGCGAAGCTGGCGTGTTGGTGTGGACAGTGCCGACCTGATGCACAGACAGTGCCTGATAACTAAGAAAAGCTGTCTCAGAACAACGCTGTGGAACTGATCCACGATTAGCAGAGGATAGGTGCAAACCAGTTTTGCCAGCCCACCTGCGATTCCTCTTAGTCCGCTGCAGCAAGCTCGAGTTGGTTTGAACCATTCTGTCTCTTGCAGCTTCCTCGCTAATAAAGATGAAGCAATCAAAGCAACCTTGCTACTCTTGGAGTGTGTGATGCAGGTTACAACACAGCTTACGCTCCTCCAGTTTTGTGGCATTTGCAGGGCAAAGATGGGCAGGGACTTGCAAGGGGCAGCAGACGGGGTTTTGTACAGAGATCTGCAGAAGCCATGTCTGCAACCCGTCCGACACAGAGCTCGCCTGCCAGCTCCCTGCTGCGTACCTGCTGCGGGTGGCTTCCCCTTGAGGCTGTCACCCGCTCTGCCCCCCTTCGCCTCCCTCTCCTTCCAGTCAAAACTCCTACCCTTCTGGAAAGCTGTGAGGGTTTCACACCAAGCAGAGATGGACCTGTGTCCAACTTCAGCGTCCATGCTTAGCGTACGGCCGGAATTGCAGCCTGTGTAAGAAGGTTATGCAGTAAGCCTTCCAGCTCCGAAAGTGTTTGAGGTTGATCCACTGGTACCCAGCACTCCCCCTCCCCTGACTCCGCTTCCTCTTCCAGTACGTGCTGCTGGTGGTGGTGGTGGTTCCCCGATAGCTGTAAGTCCTCGCCTGGCGGTAACTGCGCTGTCTCAGTGTCGCGCTCTCTTTGTATTTGGGAGCACCCGATGGAAGTCCTAGATGGCTACTGCAGAACGGCGCCTTGTAGCCCAGGACTTGACATGATTCAGTGGCTCTTGGTGTTTTTCTGAGACAACTCCGTTCCCACAGCATCTCGGAATGCGTGTTTTTAGGAGTGCCCCTTAGAGAGCCAACGAAGCGGACACGGCAGCCTCCGCGGAGCGTTTGCCTGGGCTGTGTCAGAGGGGGCTGCAAGGGGGGTGGGATGGTAGGACGTGCATCTTGCTTCACAGGGCCAAACCAAATGTGCTTGGGCTCCTTTGGCTTGTTCTCCAGAGCTCCCTGCTCCTTAGGCTGTGTCGACTTCAGCACTGGGGTAATGAAAACACAGGGGGGTTGTTCTTTGAAGACTAAATATTAGGTGCAAGTGTTTGTGGCCACAAGAATGGGGTTTTTGATCCTCTGAAGAAAGATAGGGTGCTTCAGAAACACTGCCTGATGCTGTTTTGGAATGGGATTAAACTGGCAGCTGCACTGCAAGCATGCTGGAGTTTTACATAACGATCGTTCTCGGAAAGCAGGAACGCCGGGGGTTTTTAACATCTTTTGCCCTTTCTTACAGAAAGGGCTTCTCCTTTTCTATTTTAACACTTGAATTGCATTTGAAAGGATGTCAGCAATCAGTAACAGTACTTGCTTAGTTAATACATACAGCGAATGCAGCCTGCCTCCTACTACTGTCTGCTGCAGAATAAATATTTTGTCCGTTTTGGGGGGAACAGGGGGACCAAACCTCCTTCTTCCTGCTCTAGGGCAAAAGGTCTTTTATTTCTAATGGTGGCTAATTATTCCCTGGCATATTCTGTGCTTGCTTACAGGATGAATAACCCAGTTGGTTACTAATGGTTATTACCCAGAGGTAGCACAAGAAATAACTGGAATTTTGGAACTGTTTCCCTCTATGGGTCATAAGTGGGGTATCTGCCTTGTGAGGGCACGGGCGGTTAGTCGGGCTTACTGAGCCGTTCAGATACTTCACTGTCCAGATGCTCAGATGGAATCTGAGCTCCTCTCTTCTGTGTCGGTGCCTTTCTGCTTTGCAGCTCTCTCAGAAACCATCCTAAGTGCGCTTTTGTGTTTCCGACTGTGCTCGGGGAACAGTGGCGTGATCTCCGGTCACTCAGAATGCAGCACGAGCCTCTGCTCGAGCTTCTCTGTCAGCAGTCTGACCCCTCAGAAAAATGGTAACTGCCTCTTGGCCTCTGGCTCGTCACAGGACTCGGTTCTGAGGTGCAGCACATGCAGGCAGGTGGCTGGGATGAAATATTCTTTTAAATAATTGCCTACTGCAGCCAAAAATAAATGTGTCTTTGACACCTATGACTTTGTTGCATATCAGGAAGAAAAGTTACAGCCTTGAGATCAGAAGTCACTTATTTATGTCAGTTTAGAGTGCACTCTTGAAAAGAGAAGAAAGCCATCTCCAGGAAGGCCCTGACGTTAGGATGATTTTTCTCAAAAAAAGCAGACAAACCCTAGCTGTCTTACCTTAGTCTTCTGTGTCTTGAGCATCTTATTCTGTAGGGTGTGAAGCTGCCTCCAAGACATCTAGGTTCTGAAACAAAACAATGATAGAAATGTGTTCTGGTCCTGATCATATTGGCAACATTTTCTTTTCCCTTTAGAATAAGGTGTGGGGGATTGCTAATTTCCAGTCAAGCTCAGACTGGAAGTGTGACGTTCTGGAAGAAAACACGTGGGAGGGAAGGTTTCCCTCCCCTGTTGCCTTGTTGCTCCCTGGCACTGAACTAGAAGAAACGGTAGGTGTGTGTTGCATGGATCCCAGAGCAGCGAACCCGGGGTGCTGCGTCGTTTGAGACGAGCTCGCGTAGCTGAGCGCTCCCCTCGAGGCCGTGGGGTGCTCGGAGCGGGCAGGTGTGGCCGAGGGGCAGTGGTGGCTGCGGGGAGGCGAGGCCGGACCGAAACAGCGTTCGGGGCAGTGGAATGGGGGAGAGGTTTTAAGCAGCATGGAATAGTTCTTGCTTATGGGGTGAGTTTTACAGCCTTATTTCTAATGGGGAGACACAGCCCCAGCTCTGTATTTGCTTTGGTTTTGCACTGAGCTAGGTGATCGGGAGTGTTCTGTGAGAACTGGACTCTGTTCCTGATTATGGGGTTTTTTGTTTGTTTGTTTTTTCCAATTCAGACTAGGTAGCCATGTCAGCCAAAGCCATCTCTGAGCAGACAGGGAAGGAGTTCTTGTACAAGTACATCTGTACATCCTCTGCCATCCAGAACCGTTTCAAGTATGCCCGAGTCACCCCAGACACTGACTGGGCACGGCTCACCCAGGACCATCCGTGGCTCCTGAGCGAGGTAAGAGCGAGCTGCCTTCCGCGGACAAAACCCTGCCCGCCTGGGCTGCTCCCTGCCGGGCACGGCACGTCGTGCTGCGGCAGGTTGCGAGCAGAGCCGTGCTCTGCATCTTTCCTGAAGGACCGGTCGCTGCTGCTGCTCTGCAACATTCATTTGCAACACTGATGAAGAAACAAGCCTTGCTTCAAGGCTGTTGTATCACCTTCTAGGGAGCCGGGTTATAAAATTCCTTTAAGGACTGTGAAATACATGAGCAGAGATATCTGCAAACCAGAAGCTTCTAATAACCACACAGACAGTAAATGAGACTAATTCAGACAAAGCAGGAGTCTCTTGAGATGCCAGTCCCTGCTCTCAAACCCTTACTTTCTGGAATCATGGACTGCTTTCTCCATGGGTAGCTTCTCCGTTCAGTTGGGATACTGCTTCGCTTCCTGCATCCAAGTGAAATGCCAGGCAAAACTTCATTTTCTGCTTTTGCCATGCAAGATCTTTCATATCTCTGTGTTTCATAGCCATGCACTTTCTGTAGAGAAAACATGTCCAGAGCTCTTTTTATTCATTGTCCAAGCTGATTCCTTTCCAGTGGTTAATTAAGTCATTGGCTGGTAGAACATGAATGTTTCACAGTGTTGTACTGACTGACTGGTAAAAGCCCTGCACCACATTAATAAACGTTCTGTACTCCAGTGCATGAGTGAACTGCTGGGAGACAGCATCTGTGTTTCTGAAAGACTTGCAGAAAGCCAAAAGGGGGCACGGACGCTGTCTTGCAGCAGTTCACTCACGCGCTGGAGTAGGCAGAGTTCTGTGCTGCTGGAAGGGGCTACAGGGTCCAGCAGAAAGACCACGGTCAGCATTCTGTGCCGCAGCCTGTTGTGTGCTGACCACGCTGGCAGTTGCTGAAGTTCCAGGACGTGTCAGCTGTACAGGAGAATGGCAACCATTTCTTATTTAAAAGAAAAACAACACAACCAACCAAAAATACCAAACCCACCCGCAAGCTGGAGATAAGTGTGTTACCTAGGAAGAGCTTTCCATAGGTATCTTGTAGAGAGCCACTGCCAGCTGAGTAAACGCGCAGGACCCCTGGCCCTTGCCAGTCTCGTGTGCAGTGACAGCAGGACCTTCCTCTCTGAGCAGCTGCCTGTGCTTGCCCTGTCTCTAGCAGCTTCTCCTTATGAGCCTCTGCTCACAGAGAAATATTAATTTCATGATCTCACGATGCATGTTGCAGTTTGCAAAACTGACAGGATGCTGTACACTTTTCAGCATGATTTTTTTTTCTACAGAAAGTGAGTACATATGCCCCATCCTAACAGCTGCTTTGAAAGAGTTATCGAAGTTCATCAAGAAAACCCAAAAGAAGCTGTCACCTCAGTCTCTGATGTATACTCACATCTGAGTAGAAATATGGCAGCTCTTCTCAAAATACAGAGTGAAGAAAACTGCAGGCTTGTTGTACCAGGAGGTGCACTGGCCAAGAAATTAAAGAAATTCTGCAAAGATGTTTGCTGTACAGAATTTATTTAAGCTTTTGTTTCGCTATCTGCAGAGAATCACTTGACCAAAATCACTTTCTAACGCGTCTTTCTTTTAATCTCTCTTGCACAATGTTGCAGCGTTTAGTGGTGAAGCCAGATCAGCTAATAAAGAGACGTGGGAAGCTTGGACTGGTTGGCATTAACCTCACTCTGGATCAGGTGAAGGTTTGGCTCAAACAGCGTCTGGGCCAAGAAACCACGGTGAGTGCCGCCTGCGCAGCAAAACCATAACTCTTCCCTTCTGCCTTTTCGGCCCGCTTGCGGGGCAGGAGCTGGTGCACAGGTATTTCTCTGCCTTCTGGTTTAAAGTGCGTGTCATGCTGATGTCAAAGCAAGTGCGAAACTGTCCCACGTGTGAACTTTGTGCTGGTGGATGGGCACTGGTGAGCGACGTGCCTTGACAGGGAGCGCAGCTCAGCGCTCCCGATCCCCGTCCGCTGCCCGAGCCTGCTGCGGGGGGCCGGTGCGGGGGGAGCTCAGCAGCAATTAGCGCCGTCTGGAAAATCCCTTCCACCGGGGAGTCAGCAGTTGATAGCTCAGATGCTGTGCCTGGTTGGCGTAGCTGCTGCACTTCAATACCCAAGGCAGATTTAACAAGACAAATATAAAAGCTGTCATGAAGTCGTCCTCCTGTTGGAGCCAGCCGGTGTGTTTTGGCTGATGACTGCGTGTTACTTCAAGTCCTTATTTTAACTTGGCGCTGGCTTGCAATGTTTGTTCTCCTGGGAACAACGCTGCAGTGCTAATGATTAAGAAATGCCTGCCATCCCAGCTGCGGTGTTTCAGGGGCTGGTCGAGTTCTGCCACCTCAAGGAAGCCAATGCCTTGCCCCGCTGTGATTGATTTGCTGCTGCTTCAGCACCGAGCCGTGCAGCCCAGCCACCGAGGCTGCCTGGGGGCTGCTGGGAAGCAGCAGGCAGCTGCACCTTGTGTGCCTGCCCCCCAGGAAAGCCACGGGTGTTGAAATCGCTTCTTTAGCACCATACAACCACCCCATCTAAAGGAAGGACCGTGCCAAGGACTCGTGCCCAGTGATGTTTGCTCCCGCAGCAGTGTCCTCGGGAGCAGGGGGTATCTCCCGTGGCTTGTGTGGGAATGTCCCTTGAGCCAGGAGACGTGGTGTGGGCAGGAGGGTGGCTCACGCCATCGTGTTTCACGCTGCACTAAGCAGTGCTCTGTAAAGGTGCTGTCTCTGGAACAGGAGATGCAGAAGAGCCATTCTGGTGTAATTCTGATAGCCGTCTGTCCTGTTGGGCGAGGGCAAGGTGACCGACTCCGGCAGCCTGTGAAGCGCGGGTCCCCTGGAGTCCGCAGTGACAGCGCTGGACACTGTGCTGGAGAGCGAGGAGTGCGGTGCCCCAGGAAACACGGTGGCGAGGTGCTTGGGAGGAAGTGATTGTAAAGCAGCGTTGATTAATTCTCGAAGCTTGCCTAATGCTGTCATAAATGTGGATATGGGACAAGCATTTATTGGTGTTTGTCTTGTTTTCTGCCTACAGATTGCTAATGCTAAGGGAATCCTAAAGAATTTTCTGATTGAACCCTTCGTCCCTCACAAACAGGTTAGTATATGAAATAAAGCATTAAAAAGTGCTTTTAAATCTCTTGACTTGCACGTGGGTTGATATAGCGGAGACAGCAGAAGCTTGGGAGCGTGCGGTTAAGCTGACGGTGTCGCTGCGTGTGGTCAGAGCTGCCTGCAGGCACAGCATTAGTCCATGCGAAGAGTTGTTAATAATCGTGTTGCTTGCCGTGACTCTGCTGGGAGGAGGTTACAGATCACCTGCGAGGGACCAGGTTGGCTGGGAAAAGGCAGCTCGCTGCTCCTCGGGTCTGGCACTCCCGAGTGTGGGTAACAAACTGTTGATGCGAGAGAACCTCAGTTTGTGCTGGTGAAGTATTCGTACTCCGCCCTGGTTTGTGGGAAGGGTATAATGGCCCAAGATACAGGTACTTTCAGTGCATGCAAGAAAGGACCCTCTTTGCCCTTCAGTTGTGTTCTCCAGAAGTGGAAAGCGATGTCCCTGACACGTTTCACCAGGGTGAAGCGCTCTGGGCCCTGCCGCTCTCCCTCCCAGGCCAGCAATGCCTGTACAGCCCTGCGGAGCGCCTGGGCGGCTCCAGAGCTGCTTCTGCTTGGAAGGCTCGGCGGTGTGCTCAGCTGCCCCTTCCCCAGCGTTGACACAGGAGCCTCCTCTTCAAGGTCTTCTCTGGCTGTGATTTGCTAATGTTTGTGCCTGGGTCTGTGCAGGACGAAGAGTTCTATGTGTGCATATACGCTGCCCGCGAGGGAGACTACGTACTCTTCCACCATGAAGGTGGTGTGGATGTGGGAGATGTTGATGCCAAAGCTCAGAAGCTGCTTGTGGCGGTGGATGAAAAGCTTAATGAATTGGATGTGAAGAAATATCTCCTGCAGCATGCCCCAGCAAATAAAAAGGAGTAAGTACAGATGCCCAGTTCCAGGCGTGGCCAGACAGCCAGAAGCTCCTCTCCTTTATTTCAGTGCAACATCCCTCTGTTCTGTTTCCCCCTAAAGCTTGCTCTCTTGCCCTTCTTGCTGCTCTCAAGAATATGCCATGCATCCTAAATCCAAGTTCTTTGACCCTATCCGAGCTGCTTGTAAAACTCAAAGTAAGCGTTCATAGTGCTTTGAGCCTAGACTTGACAGGAGCACTTCTCAGTCTG